CCCCCCCCCCCCGAGAGGCAGCACCCGTGTGGCTCCGGCCGGGCTGTGCCCACGGTGTGCCACGCAGCGGGCGGTGCTGATGGGCATCGTTAGGGGGCGGAGGGCGCTGCCTCCCCCCCCCCCCCAGCACCCCGATTCTGGCTGCGCCCCCACTGCTGCCCTGTGGGTCTGCATCACCCCAAAAACGCCGTTTGGAGCTGATAGCGGCAGCTCCTGCATCCCCCCCGCGCTGCTCCCCGATGGGAGCCGGATGGAGGGGATGGGGGAGGTGGCGGCAGCCCCCCCAAAGAGGCTTCGGGCTCCGGCTTGGCCGCATTCCTCGGCCTGGAGAGTTCTGGTGGAGGGAGGAGCGCGGCCGGAGCGCGGTGTGACTCAGCCTTGGGGACACTCTGGGGACACATGTGGGGCCATAACGCGCCCTCCGTGCCCCCCCCCCCGCCCCCTTCCCCCATAGCGCTGTGGGGCCGGGATTGATCCCTCCGGCCGCTGCCCAGAGACCCCCCAGTGTGCTGCGGGGGGGAGGTGGGGGAATTGACCCCTGGGAGCCGCTGCGGACCCCGAGTTGTGACAACAGACACAGCGTGACCCCGCGCTGCTCATCCTGCGGGCACCGCGACCCCGCAGCGCCGGGTAGGGAGGAAGGGGGGGCGAGGAAGGGGAGGGGAGGACACGGAGCAGCGCTGCGGGAAGGGAATGCGGGACAGCACGCAGTGCCGGTGGAGGCAGGGGGTGACACGGGACATTCCCACGGGGATTTCCAGCGGGGTTCTCTGTCTCTCTCTTTCTCTCTGCCTCCCCCCCCCCCCCCCCCCCCCCCCCCCCCCGCCCGGTGCCAGCATTGCGAGGCGAGGGCTGCGGGGCAGCGTGCGGGGCCGGGACCGCGCGGGGTGGGTGCGGGGGGTCGGGGAGGATCTCGCCGCGCTCTCTCCGCTGGAAATAACTTTCTCCGTAACGCGGCGAGTGGGCGGCGGTGATTTCAGCGGAGCCGTGGGCTGAACCCAGCCGGGGAAGCGGGGGGGGGGTTGGGATGAGCTGCAGGCTTCACCCCCAACAACCCCCTCATTCCCCCCCCCGGTTTGGGGGCGGCTGTCCCTAGAAAGTCTCCCAGGTGCTGAGCTGTGTTCCTGCGCCCCCCGAGGACGCTTGAAGGCCAATCCGTGGCAGAGCTTTGGCCGCAGTTTCCCCCCCGTTCTGCCCCCCTTCCCCCAGCACCAGCACACCCGGAGCTCGCGGAGGGGGCGATGGGGCGACCCCAGCGCTGGGGCCGGGATCCCTGGGTCACCCCGCGTCCTCCCACCGAGCTCGGACCGCCGCTTTGCAACTGGGGGCGTTTCGGGAAGGGACCCCGCAGCCCCCACCCCCCGTTTGTGTGGCATCGCTCATCGCCCCCAGCCCCGCAGCCGTTCTATTTCTGCCCCGTGACTCAGGGATTTCGGCAGGTTCGGGATGGGGGGGATGGGGGGGAAGGGAGGAGGCTCTTCTTTAGCCAAAACGAAAGGGGCGGCCGCGTCCCTCCCCTCCCACTCAGCAGCGGATTATTATTAACCCGGCCGTCCCACCGCCCCTGTTTGCAACAGCGCTGTCCCATGACCGCACTGTGACATCTTTCCGGTCACTCCGATGGGAGATCTGACAGAGCACGGCCACGGGGTCCCCGTGAGTCACCCCCAGATCGGTGTCACCGTGTGCCCACCGCATCCCCAGAAATGGGGCGGGGGGGGGGGGGGGGGCCCACCCCGCGGGGGGGGGGGGGGGGGGGTGCAGCTCCGTGCTCGCCCCACATCCGCCCCCTGCCTTCCCCGCAGCCGCAGCGCTGATGGTTATCACCTCGCTCAGCAGCACAGATGTGGCCCCATCGGCGGTGCAGACGCGGCCCTGTTGTGGAGCTGTCACCTCCGTCTCCCTCTCTGGCTGCCCCCAGCTCTGCCCTGACCTCCAGTCTGCACTCTGTTCTGGATCCCCATCCCTCCATCATTTTCGGGTCAGCTCAGCTCCAAGCAGAGCCATCATTGCCATCAGCTGCTCCCTCAAAGTGTGGATGAGGGCAGCTGTCACCAACACGTGGCCCATTGTCACCGTTGCCACCGTTGCCACCGTTGTCATGTTGTCACAGCACACAGCAGCATTTGCGGCATCTCCCGCTTTCCTCTTCCCCATCCTGGTGTGACCAACCCTCCGTGAGCCAACATTTGGCCTCACGGCAACTAATTGCTTCCAGTCGTTTGCAAAACAACAACAGCAACCAGCAGGAAAACCCCCAAAAAGCAGAGAGCTTTTGTGTCCCCAGAGCTGGGAGACCCCCAGCTCCATCCCCACACAGAGCTCCTCCAGGACATCCCTGTGCAAACACTTCTGGGTGTGCAAAACCACCACAGCACACACAGCTGTCCCTGCACACCCATGGGGATGAATGCAGCCCAAAGGTCCTCCCTGCACCCCACACCCTGCAGCCCCCAATGCAATGGGGGGTGGGAAGGAGGGGGCTGAGGAGGGGTGGCCCTGCTGCAAAACGAAGGCTGCTGATGGAGCAAACTTGCACTGCCCCCGGGGGGGGGGGGGGGGTTGTTTGCAAAACCATGCAGGATTTCCTGCAGGAAAACTTCATTGCAGCACGGCGCCGAGGCGCGCGGCGGTGGGTGTGCAGCCAGCAGGGCTGTGCTCGTGCGATGGTGCGCAGTGCACGTGGGAGCCCGTGCAGCAGGGGATGCTTTTAGAGGCTCACACGCGTGTGTTTCAGCCTGCAGGTGTGTGCAGGTGTGTGTGCTGGGTGCTTCTGCACACGCAGATGTTGGGCTGCGTGCGCCTCGCTGTGCGTGTGGCTGCGCAGGGGTGTCTGCGTGTGTGCAGATGTGTGTTCCAAGGGATGTGCGTGCACACGAGGCAAGCTGCAGGGCTGTGTGTGTGTTGTCACAGAGCTGCGTGTGCTGGCACGTGTGTGTGCACAGGCATGCATCCCCAGGGATGTGCCAGCAGCTGCGTGTGCGTGTTCCAAGGCTGCGTGTGAGCACACACACGTGTGCAAGCTCCAGGGCTGTGCATGTGTGCCGCTGTGCGTGTGCATATGTGCGTGTTCCAAGGGTGTGAGTGTGCATGCAGGTGTGCAACTGCACGGCTGTGTGTGTGTGCGTGCCCCAGGGTTGTGCACGCGTGTGCGAGTGCGCGCTGCAGGCGGCGCGCAAGGAGCTGCGTGCGTCCACGTGTGCGTTGTTCCGAGGGCTGCGCGTGCACAGACACGTGTGCGAATCCCGCTGTGTGTGTGTGATGGGGGGGGATGCGCGCGCTCATATATGCGCGTGCCCGAGCGCGTGCACGACGGTGCGTGCATCTCCCGGCTGAAGGGGAGGGGGCGGTGCGTGCCGGCGCGCGCGCGTTGCGCGCCCGTGAGGGGGCGCGGGGGTGGGGGGAGATTGGGGTGGGGGGTGAGAGGGTGGTCGTGGGGGGGGTCAGGGGATGGGGGGGTTCTCCCCGTGCCCACCGGTCGGGGCCGAGCGGAGCCGAGCGGAGCCGAGCGGGGCAGCGCCGCCGGGATCTGGCCGCCCGCCAGCCCTGTTCTCATAAACCACATGCTGTCAGCGGCCCTATAAAGGGCAGCGCGGCGGCGACGGCGGACTCAGCCCGGCCCCGCTCCCGCACTCAGCCGCCTTCTCCCGCACCGCCCGACCCGCCGCAGCCCCGGCCCCACGGCAGCCCCCATGCCCCGCCTCGGATCCCAGGTACGCCCGCCGCCTCCTGCGGTCGTTCGGGGTGTCCCCCCCCTTCCCCCCCCTCCCGGCTCCGCTGCCACCTGTGTGCCCCCTCCGGTGCTCCCCCGACCCCCGCCGGATGCGCGCACGGGGACGTGGCGGTGCGGACCGACCCCCATCCGGCCCCGTCCCGCCGCCATCTCCCGATTGCTTTCGCTTTGCCATCCCGATGCCGATCGGAGCGGTTCTCCGCGGGGTGCGGTCCCGGCCCGGTCCCCGCCTCCGTCCCGACGCTCTGGGGCTCCGTCCCGCTCCCCATCTTCATCCCGGTCCCCGACCCGGCGGAGCGAGGCTCCGTGCCCCATCCCCATCCCATGGCCGTGCTCTTCCCCCCCACTCTCCCCCCCCCCCCCCCTTCCTCACGGCGACATCTGCAGTTTCACAAGCCGGGAGCATTTCTGGGCCGGCTCCCAGGGAAACTGCCCCCACCCATCCAACCCCGCACACCCTATCGGTGCCGGGATGTGGGACGCGGGGGGTCTGCTGGGTCCCCTCCCCGGAGGAGCCCCTGTGCACACGGAGGGGCTCGGGCCGCCCTGCTGCATGTGGGGGGGCTGGGAGGGGACTTTGGGGTGACGCCAAAGAGGCTGCGTGGAAAGAGCCCTGAGGGTGCGGGGCTTGGGGGGGGTCTGCGGGGTGGCAGAGGGTTTTGGGAGGTGGGTGGCACGGCGCCTGTCACCCGTGGGGACGGCCCAGAGCCACGCGGCTCCCACGTGTGTTGTGGAATGGGAAATTCCCTGTTGGAAGCGGCTCGATGGGCGTGGGGTGGGAGGACAGCAGCGGGGTCAACATTGCAAAGCTGGGATTAATGAGGAAGGGGGTCTCGGGGGGTCCGGCCCCACACCAAGCGTCGCTTTGTCCCGCTCAGGTGTCCCTGTTCCGCTGCACCCTGCTCTCGTCCCTCCTCCTCATCTGCAGCATCCATGAGACGGAGCAGAACAGCTACTGCCAGCAGATCATCACCGAGCGGCACCTGGACTACCTGCAGGATCTGGTGAGCGCCTCCCACGGTGGCCCCACGAGTTCCTCTCCTGCTCGGTGACTCCAACGGTGGCACCCAGGAGCCGGGTGCCCAGGGGCGTTCGAATGGCACCGTGCCTGCAGTGTGGCTGCTGCCAGAGGAGCAGCCGTGGCCGGGAGCTGGGTGCGGAGAGCGGGGAGCGCTGGGGATGCAGCAGAGGGGACTGGGGGGTGGTGGTGTTTTTGGGGCCGCGGCGGCTGCGCAGGGGTTAAGCTGAGGAATCCGGCTGCATTCCTGAGTCCAGCTGCTTGCCTGGAAGCTGGGCTGGCAACGGGGCTGTGGGTGGGTGGCAGGCAGCGAGGGGGGCCACGGAGCCAGACGGGCTGGGGAGACGGGCGCACGCGTCCCATGGGGCACGGGGTGCTCACCCCCTGGAGCTGAATCCCGGCCCCATCCCTGCCCCATAGGGCTGCCGGAGGCGCTGCCCACGCTGGCCCTTGGCTCACCTCCGAGTGGGCATTACGTCTGTGGATGCTGTGGGCAGGGAATCGGGCCACGCGGGGATTTGCGCGGCAGCGTGGATGCGTTGGGAGCAGATTAAAATTTGGCCTTGGCAGCACCGCTGGGCTCACGGCTCGAGGGATCCGAGGCTGAGCTCAGCTCATAACCGCTGTGTGTAACCGCTGCGTCCGGCCTCGCGTCGCCTCTTCCTCTCGCAGCACCGAGCGGCGCTGCTGGGGCTGGCAGATGTGCAAGATGGGCTGTGCCTGCAGCCCCCTGCACAGGGAAGGTTTGCTTTGCAGCCCACCCGGATCCCAAGCAGGCGCGTGGCCTGGAAGGGGGTGGGGGGGGGGAGAGGAGGGGGCTGGTGCAGGTTTGAATGAAAGCCACGGTTTCCCAGCTGGAGGTTGCAGCCCTCTCCTCATCCGGCGTTTGCAGAGCAGCCGGCCCTCGCTGCAGCCCCGCGGGATAATGGAGCAATTGTTTCCAGTGCTGCACGGCTCTTCTGGCAGCCCGCGCCCTCCCAGCCTGGGATGCAGGCCCGGAGGCGGCTGAACGCCCTGAAGGAGGGCTTGGCTTTGGCGGGGTTGTTTGGGGGATTTTCCTCCTTTTGTAATGGGAAAGAGAGGTGGCAGCGGGCACCGATGGATCCCGGGTGGCAGTGCCAAGCAGAACCGGGGCTGCGGCTTGAGGAGGAGGAGGAGGATGGCAGGGATGAAGCAGGAGCCCCTGTGCCGTGGGTTAGGGGTGGTTTGCACACATGTGGGCACAGGGCCGGGCAGCGCCCACACGGTGACACCCTGCTCTGTCCCTGCAGGCAGACACACAGATGCAGCAACCTGGCACGGTGTCCTTCAGATTCATCAGCAAGATGCGGCTGGTGAGCGGCCCTCAGCTGGGCAGGGGGGTGGGGTGGGGGGTGGGATGGCTCCTGGGACGCCGTGGGGTGTCCCTGTGGGGTGTCCCTGTGGGGTGTCCCTGTGGGGTGTCCCTGTGGGGTGTCCCTGTGGGGTGTCCCTGTGGGATGCATTTGCTGTCCCCTTGCCTCCATGTCCCTGGGCAGGGCGGGAGAGCGGCGTTTCCTCTGCCCACGCTGCATCCAGTCTCTCACTGTGGGGCTCCATCTCCTCCCAGAACGACTCTGTCTGCTACGTGAAAGCTGCCTTCCCTTTGCTGGGCACAATCCTGAACAGGACGACGTTCAAGGAGAACTCAACAAACGCCAACAAGATGAAGACGGTGCGCAGGATGTACGAAAGCATCGATGAGAACGTGGACCCCTGCATCAGGGAGGAGGACGACGAGGAGCACGTGGTACGGCGTTCCCCACCTGCAGAACGGGGTGGGCACGTGGGGCTCCGTGCTGTGGGGTCAGAGCTGGGTGCAGCGTGGCACCCGCTGGGGTCACCGGGTTGGGATCCGGGATGCTGAGCCGAGCCCAATCCCTCAGCTCTCCGAAACGTGCTTCGAGGATTTCACCACGTCCCCCTACGAGATGCTGGTGCTGGTGAGGCAGTTCTTCCAGGACATCAAACAACTGCTGCACAACAAGGAGACCTTTGAGAAGGACTGCAGCCAGGTGTACCGCAGCGCCTGTGCGGGGCCCCAGCAGCGCAGCTCCTCCCCAGGTACGGCTCTGCCTGCTGCCCCGCCAGCTCAGGCTCACCTGCATGGAGCAGCTTGGAGCCGCGTGTGCACAGCCCTGCACACGTGTGCGGGCGCAGCGTGTCGCCGTGTCGGGAGCTGTGTGTCCGTGTTTGGGGCTGAGCGCCTGCTGGGGGTGGAGGGGGGTCAGAGAGGGGGATGCAGCCCCCCGATGGGGTGGGGAATGGGGCTGGGAATGAGGCCGTGGGGGCGCTGGGGGGAGAAGAAGCTCCATCCGCGTGGCTGGAGGTGTCAGGCTCGGCCAAGCCACGTTGCCGCCTGTGCCTCAGTTTCCCCTTAGTGCCAGTCCTGTGGAGTAAATGCTGAGTGAGGCCGAGTTCTGCCCTCTGGGGTGTCAGGACTTGCGTTGCCATCCGTGCTTGTCTGAGTGCCACGCTGTTGTGTCTGCATGCCCGTGGAGGAGATGTCTCAGTGTTGTCTGCGCCGGGCTGTGCCTTGTCACCACCGCGCCGTGGGGATGTCACACGTGGCCGGCTCCTGCCAGCGATGCTGCATCGTGGATAACCCTCACTGCCAGCTCAGGGGACCCGGTGACGGGCTTCCACTTGTCCTGTCGCCTCTGTCTTGCTGCCACATCCGGCCCTGCCTGCTCCCTGCTTCCCTCTGCTCTTCTTTTCGGGGCTTTTGCTCTCATGGGGATGCGGGGGGATCCCCGTTTCAGACCTGCTGCCTGCTGGTGACCCCACGGCCGTCTCTTCTCTCTGCTTCTTTCAGGTGTGGGGACAGATCCTGACTGCAATTGCCTGTCCCCTGCCCTCCCTTCTGCCACCCAGCCCTCCCTCTCCGCTGCCACCCGTGCCGGCAGGGACGTGGCACCCTCTAGCACCAGGGTCCCTTACCGCCAGCTGGGCGGCATCCTGGCCGAGTTAGGCAGCAGTGCCTCGTCCGAGCCCCCCAGTAGCATGGAGGGCAGCTCAGGGGCCGAGGAACTGCCAGGAACCGGGCTCGGCGACGCGTCGGCGCCGTCCCCCACCGTGCAGCAGACGCTTGGAGCCCTCCTGGATCCGGCCGCGAGCGCCAGCCCGAAGGCCGAGGACAAATCCATCCCGTTCCACGGGATGCTGGAGGAGGGCGCCGGGACCCCCGTCCTCCCGCATCAGCTCCCTTCGCCCCGAGGGATGAGCACGGCGATGCCGGCGGCGGTCCCCAGCAGCGGCTCCGCGCAGCGCCGCGCCGTCGGTCGCCGTCCCACCGAGAGCCCCGAGCGGGTCACGCAGCTCCGCTTCTCCAGGATGGCTCCGCTGTTGCGGGGACGGGCGGAGGGCGGCCCCGGGGACGGGACGGGGGCGCGAGGCTGGGGGCTGAGCCGGCTGCGGGAGCCCGAGGACGGCGGGGCCGGACCCAGCTTTGATTCGAGCTTTGTTCTGAGCGCAGAGCAGCGCAGGAAGGAGCCGCCAGCCGCCGGCGAGAGCCACCGGGAGCTCCTGGTGTACGTCACGGTGGCCAGCGTCGTGGCCGTCTTGCTGGCCATGGGCGGGCTGCTTTTCTACAAGTATAAATCCAAGGTGAGCCCTTCCCCGGCCGCCCGTCGCTGCCTCGGTTTCCCCTCTCATCTCTCGGTGCTGCGCCCCAAGTTTAAGGTGGGGACCCCTGAGCGCCGCCCCGTCGCAGGGAAGGGGGCGTTATTTGGGGGATCCCCCACCTCCTTCTCCAGGTGGGAGCCCCCTCCCCATCCTCACCCCTCCCTCCTCGCAGGTCCTGCAGCGGCCGCTAGAACAGAGGGGCTGCGACCCCGAGGAGCCGGAGACCAGGTGGGTGCCGTCCTACCGCTCGGCTGGGGAATCTGGGGACCCCCGTGCCCACCCCGACCCGGGGACCCCGGCCCCACAGCCCGCCCTGTAAACCCCCGCTGGGTTTTGCCTCGCAGGGCGCTGCAGGGAGCGGAGGGGTGCGCGGAGCTGGAGACGCAGGAACTGTGAGGTGAGGGGAGGGGGCAGGGCGGGCGGGCGGCCGCATCCCAGGGGCGCTGACCCCAATCTTGGGGCGGGGAGGGGCTGCCAGCTGGGCTGGGTGGAGAACGCGGCCGGGCTGCGCCTCAACAACGCGGCCAGCGTGCGGTTTAGCAGCCCGTTAATTCATAACCGCGAGTTTTTAGATGCGTATTGAGGCATTCTATTAAATACGGGCTTTCTATTCCCCCCCCCCGTTTTATTTTACGTTATTTTCCAATTCTGAACGCACCTCTCCCCACCGTAACCTCATCGCCCGCTCACTTTTTCTCCCTCTCTCCTCAGGGCCCCCTGGCGGGATGTGACGCTGCTCGGGGGGGCGGGGGGGTGAACGGACGGGGGCGCTCCTCGCTGGGCGACGGACGGCCGTTGTGCGGCCCCCAGAAGACGCGACGAGCCCCAACCCCCGGCCTGCAGCTGGAACCCGCACAACCCACGGATGAGGAAGGAAGGACGGGGCAGCGCAGCCCGGCAGGACCTTGGCGATGGGGTGGATGGCACCGAGGGGCTCCGTGGGGACGGCGCTGGATGCGTCCGAAGCTGCGAGTGGAAAATCCCCCCCCCCCCCCCCCCCCCCCCCTCCATCCGTCCGTGTTTCCCGTTGCTCCTCACCCACGCCTGGCACGGCAACCCATAGGGGGGGGGGAGCAGGGCAGGAGAGGGGGGACCCTTCCCGCATCCCACCGGTGCTGAGGACCCAACGCCAGGCCTGCAAAGGGGAAACCCCTCACACTGTGAATATTTAAGACCCGCCGTGCCGTCCCCGTGCCGCGATCCCAAGCTGGACTTGGGAGCTGCCCAGCGCAGTGGATAAAAAGCTTTTATCCAACAAATGCACTTTGGGGGATTGGGGGGGGGGGGTCCCTCTCCCTTCCCTGCAGGGTTATTGCTGCGAGCTGGCCTCGCCCAGACTGGATTTTGATGCTGGAGCACAGCGTGGTGGTGATGCTGAGGGTGCAGGGAAAGGCTTTGGGGCACAGCGGTACCCAAAACCGCATCCCACCCCACACAGCATCCCTCCCCAGCGCCGCCGCTCCTGGGCTGGGAAGCGTTATTTTTATATGATATATATATTAAAAAAAAAAAAAAAAAAAGAAGGAAAAAAAAAAAGGGACAGACCCCACTTTTTTTGTTGTTTTTAAAGCATTAGTATTAATTTTTGTTTTCTATGCGTATTTATGGACTGCCAAAAGGAGGCGTTTCCTGGGGGGGAGGGAGGGATGGAAGTGGGGTGCAGAGCTGGGTTGGAGCTGCTGCTCGCTCCACACGTGTGTGTGTGTGCGGGGGGGGGCGCCCCCCCCGCGGCTGCTGGAGTTCTTTCTGCCTCTGTTGTTTTCAGTTTTTTTGTACAGTGAAATGGTGAGATATTTTATACAAAGTCATTTAAAGAAGTCTATTTAAGGAAAATCATAGAAAACAGCTTGTATATTTAATATTATTAATAAAGACGGCCGTGCAGCGCTGTGTCAGCGTGGGAGCTGGCGCTGGGGGGTGGGAGGAGATGGGGTGGGGGGTGGGGGGTGGGGGGGGCGCAGTTTGGGGCTGGGACGGCAGTGCTGCTATGGGATCTGCTGGGGGGTGGGAGGGGGGCACTCGCTCCCATAGCATGGGATGGTGAGGGATCAGCCCTCCAGCTCTGCTGTGCATCTCAGGGTGGTGGTGGGGGGGGGCCGTTTTGGTCACGCTGGGGGCTGTGCTGCTCCTTTCTCCTATGGGAAAGGCAGGGGGAGGATGGAGTGCTGTCCCCAGGGCGCTCTGTGCACCTCTGGCCCGGAGCTGGGGCTGATCCAAGCAGCGATGCTCAGAGCTGCAGGGAACCCCTCCCCCCCCCCCCCCCCCCCCCCCCCCAAAGCGCTGGGGGCTGCAGGGTGAGGGCTGGTTATGGCCGGAGCTGGGATCAGGGGTCACGCTGACCCTGTTTTCCTGTTGATGCGTGCAGGAGTTCACGGCCACTGAGATGCACCCAGCCTTCCTGCCATCCCCATCCCCACACTGCAAATGGGGGCGCGGGGCTGGACGCCCCTCCTGACCCCACAGCGCCTGCAGGAGGAGGCAAAGCAGCTGCTAAAAGCAAACACACTTGAGGCTGCCTTCCTGCGAGCACTTCAGTTGGAGAGGCAGAGCACCACGAGGCATTTCCTTCTCCAACACCCCCAACAGATCCCAGACCCCCATCCCTTTCTCTCTGTGCAAAACCGGTTCCCTTGAGGGGGGGAGACGCTGGGATATGAGAGTTCTTTGAAGCCATCTGATGGGCACACGTGGGGTTTGCAGCTCAGGGGTCTGCAGCTGGGGGGTGGCAGGCTGAGCCCCCCCAGTGCTCAATGAGGGGGGGCTGGATGGGGCCGGGGAGCTCTCTGTGGGCTGTTTGGGGCCGTGTTTGCTGACAAACAGGATTCCTCGAGGGCAGCTGACTCAGCCCAGCCCTTCCTCTCCTCAGCAGCAGCCGGGGGTTTCCCAGGTCCACATCCCCTTCCCAAGGAAGTGGGACCTATATATATCTGTCCGGATCTGGGCCATAGTGATTATGGTCGCAGTGGGGGGGGGGGGGGGGGGGGGGGCGGGGGGGGGGGGGGGCCCCCCCGCCCCCCCCCCCCCCCCCCCCCCGCGGCAGCCCGGGCGCTGAATGAGGGCTGTGGGGCGGTGGTGTTGGAGAAGGGGCCGGGGGGTGGGGGGAAGAGGTGGGGGGGCACCTCCCCGAGTGTACACCTCCCCCACACCCACCCCCAGCACCCCCATGTGCTCTGGGCAGCCCAAAGCAAAAGCGAGTGGAGGAGATTTAAGGGGCAAACTTGACACTTTTGGGAGCCCTAAAGGTGGGTTGGAGCTGCAAAACCTCAATGCCCACTTTTGGGAACCTTAAGGAGGGATGGAGCCATTCCTACCCCTCCACGTTTCTACAGGAGAGAGGGGAGACAATCCCTCCTGCAGGTACACGAGAGCCCCCAGGATGGATTTTTCCACCTTAAAAACAGGTGATGCGCTCAGATGGAAGCCGAAACCCCAAAGTTTGAAGAGGTGGGCAGGGAAAGAAGCGTTGGCACTGGGGTGGCTGTGGATGGGGCACTGCTGGATCGCAGCCCTCCCCATGGGGCTGCATGGCCGCAGACTGCTGACGGGGCAGCGCCGTCCCGGAAAGCACCGCGGGGCTGCGGTTCCCCACTTGGGGCCATCGGGGCAGCAGGGACAGATCCCGGCCACCCTGATGGGATGGGTTGCCTCGAGTGAGGACCGGCCTGGTCCTGATCTGTGGTCAGACAGAACAGTTTTGGTTAAATGGATAAATACAGGCCGCAACGCTGCTCGCTCCGTGGGTTTGTCGCTGCGGGGCTGCGGTGGGGACGAGCAACGTGGGGAGGCACGCGGGTGTAACCCCATTGCTGGGACTTAGGGGGGGGGACAGGGTGGGAAATGAGGGTCCCAGGGGGGAACAGGAGCCCCTCAGCACCGTGGGGATGGATGGACAGATGGACACCAGGGCAGGATGAGCCGCAGTGCCCATCGCATCGCACTCAGCCCTGCTGGATCGACACGGGATGTGGCCATGGGGAGAACTGCAGGGGGCTGGGCTGGGGGTGCTGACCCTCCCTGCACCTTTACACCCCATCCCAGCCCTCCCCACCGTGACAAATGCTTCTTTCTTATGTTTGGCTGCCCTCAAGCCATTCTCTACTCAACCTTAATCTGTGCTTGGGATTGTCCTGACCAAGGCGCAGGACCTTGCTGGATTCCATGAGGTTGGAAGGGGGTGGGGGTGGGGGGGAGGCAGGGTTTGGAACTTGATGATCCTCGGGGTCCCTTCCAACCCAAACCATTCTATGATTCTATTTGTTTATTTATTACAGAACCAGAAAATCAGTGGGTTGATCTTATTCCTTCATTCCTTTATTCCTTTATTTATCTATCTGTTTATTCATTCATTCATTCCATCATTCCTTTATTCCTTTATTTACTTTTTCCTTCATTTATTTACTTATTTATTCATTCATTCATTCATTTCTTTTGTCCTTTATTTATTTATTCCTTTATTTACTCCTTTAGTCCTTTATCCATCCATCCATCCATCCATCCCTCCATCCATCCATCCCTCCATCCATCCATCCCTCCATCCATCCATCCATCCATCCATCCATCCATCCATCCATCCATCC